GCCTCTGGTCATTTTTCTAAGCCCTGCCCGGAGGCTGGCTCTAGCCCTGGTTTGAGGCGGCAAGGGTGTGGTGCCAGGCCCCTTTTTTGGCCTCTCCAGCAGCTCTCAAACCCAGCCCCTCCCCAGGACTCTCAGGTGTTGGTCCTGGGGCTGAATGAGGGTCTCCCCACAGCCTCTCTCCTCTAGGCAATGGTGACCAATAAAATCTCAGTGCCCGCCCTGCCCCCCCCCTTCCTTTGATTCTGATCCCTGCTGCCACCTGCTGGTCAGGTGGGATTGCAGGCTTTAAGCTGGGGCCTGCCTGGGCTTGGTCACTGGTTCATTCCTTCACTCCCCAATCCTGAAGCCCCAGTCCCCGGGGCCCGGCTCTGTGCAGGGCCCTGAGATTCCAGAGGTGAGGAAGATACTTCTTGTCCCAGGAAGAGGGGGCATCCTGGGGTCCTGGGGCGCCTCCAGTCGTCTCAGCTCTGGGGGCATCCTCAGTCTGACAGGGGAGACAAAACGCTGATCTCGAGAACTCCCCAGTCTGAAGGTGGAGGCACAGCCCCTGCCCCACGGGCACCCTCAGTCCTTTCTAGGGGATGTCACAGTCCGGTGGGGGAGGGCACTGTTCACACCTACCTGAGTTTCCAGTCAGGGGGCGTGATGCCTTGATGAGTTTGATGGATGCCATAAAGGAAGAGGCTCACCCCTTGAGCTTCCAGGTGTACGTGAAGGTGCACAGGCGGTGGTGCTCTGGGGCGATGGACTAGGATGGGCACGCGGGGATCCCCGTGAGGATGAGCTGGGGGAGGACTGGGCCCGTGCTGGGGCTACGCGAGGAGGCTGGATGGAGGTGCGGTGAGCATGAGAGGCCGGCGTTGTGCAGGTGCCTGTGAGGACTGGATGCCAGGGCCGGGGTGTGGGGGCATGGAAGGTGCTGCAGGTGGGAGCTGGGGACATTCAGAAGAGAGGCCCGTGAAGGGTCTGGGGCTCTGGGCTGGTGGTCTAGGATTGGCAGTGTATGTGGCCAGCGGCCAAAGCCAAGGCCACTGTTGAGGGCTGGGAACAAATGTGGAGTGAGGCAGGAGAGGGCACAGAGAAACAGCCTCTGGGGCTGTGGTGGAGAAGACAGAGCAGCCACGGAGGCGGGGATGGGATGGGTAGGAAGGGGCGAGGCCAGCAAGGCCAACTGTAGTCAATTCTCTGCACTCAGAGGAGGGAGCCAGAAGCCCAGAGACCAGATTCTCTGCCCTGGGGCCCCAGAGATGAGACCCCCAGAGGAGACCTGAGGGGCTCAGATAATGGAGTGCTCCAGACCCACTGTCCCTGAGGGACAGTCACTAGAGGGACAGTTGGATACACTGGTGGAATTCAGCAGACAGCAGTTCCTGAGTCACCAAAGAGCTGATGCTTCAGGAGCGGGGGACGGGCCAGAAAAGCACAGTGAGCTTTGCACAGGGCACTGTGTACTCACTGTGCACAGGGCACGTCCTGTCACTACATCCCCGTGCCCAGTCGGACATGGGGAAGGGGGAGAGGGCATCCTTACTCCTGTTGGACACGAGGATACTGAAGAGCCCAGGCTTCGCTGATGATACACGGACTTCACCGGAGAAGCACAAGTTTCAACCAAGGTGCCACGGGCTTCAAAGAGTGTGCGCTTAACCCCTCAGTTTTATTGTCCCTACCTGCCCGCTCCCCTCCAACATTGATTCTAGGACTGCAGACACCAGCTTCAAGGGAGGGGAAAACCTTCAGGGGAAGGTTTCAAGGGGAAAAGCTTATGCTGTCCAGCAGGGGGTGCCTCAGGGCCATCTCTGGACCGTGGGGAGTGTAGATAGCAGACAGATTAGCCGCATGACTCAATGGCACCTGAACATTGGCTAAGGAGAGAGGCACATGTTCCTGAAGGTCCTTTCCACTCAATCAGTGCTTATTGAGCACCTACTATCTTCCAGGCAGGGCAAAAACAGACGAGGACTCTGCCCCCTGGAATATACAGTCTAAGCAGAAAAACTTAAATGCAAGCAACTATATAAATGAATAAGGTAATTACTAACATGATCGAGCACTTAATATACATACCAGGCAATACTTTGAGAGCTTTGTATAGATTGATTCATTAAAATAACCGTATGGAGTGGGAATATTATTACTTCTATTTTTATAGACGAGGAAAAGGAAGCACAGGGAGGTTAAGCAATTTGCCTGAGGCCGTACAGCTAATACATGGTGGAACCGGAATTCTCCTCAGCCACTTAAGCACTTGACTTCTACGTGAAGTAAACAAACTACAAACTGAGGGTAGTCACACGATCAGGGAGGACCTCTTTGAGGAAGGGACATTGGAAGGATGAGGAGAAACCAGCCATGCCGATATCTGGCGGAAGAGCATTGTAGGAGCAGGACGTGCAAAGGCCCTGAGGTGGGAATGAACTCATTTACAGGTTAGAAAGTCTGGAGCTCAGTGAGCAAGCAGGGAAGCTGTTTGACATGAGATTGGAGATGTAGGCAGGCAATTCTGAGAGTTTCCTGAACACCCTACCGTGTGCTCTGACATATGAGGTTTAAATGCTTTAAGGAAAAACCTTTGCTGTATCCAGTAGGACCTGAGAATGGGGAGTTAGACATGAGCAGCTTACAGCCCAGGTGAGGAAACCACATTTCCCGAGAGTAACAGGATAACCAGGATGCTGATAACAACAATGGTGGGCATGATAACAAGCATCCATTGGGACCTGGTGGGAGTCAATTCCCGTGCTAAGCGCACAGGCTCATTTAATTCTGCTCAGTGGCCCTCTCTGGTAGACACAGACACTTCCATTTTATAGATGAAAGAGTTTAGACTCTGAGATGTTGGGGAACTTGGTCAGGGACATACAGTGAGTAAACAGTTGTGGCTCTCCAGGTTGGAAATCCGGTTCACTACGGCACAGGGTCAAAGATGGGCACGTGCCAGGGGACAGAGCAATGGCAGGAGCTGGGGGCTTTGAGGCGAGGAAGAGTGGAAACAGTGGTGACAAGGACGGTGGGGCTCCAGGCCTTCTAAGCATATTCTTGGTTGCCCCAGACGGAAGGAGGGGATCCTAAGTGTTTCTGGGCCATTTTGGTTAAGGGGTTGAGGTAGGTAAAGTGACTTTTCTTTTAGATTTCTTGTTAGAGCTCTTTGTTTAGTAATTTTTGCAATGGGAAAAAGCTCTCCTTCCCCTCTCTGATTTATTTTGTTTGTAAACCTGGATTTTTGTGTGCATGGTATGTTTAGGAGCGGTTGTATAAGGGAGGAGGGAAGGAAGGACCAGTTCCTCTGAGCACCACTAGGTGTCAGCATTGTCAAGGGAGTTCCCAGGCTGGGCTTCTGCCGGGTTCTCTGCAGAGGAAGGGGCATCAGCAGGCAGGATTTGAATCCACAGCTGGATTGGATTTCTTGCCTGGGGTTGAGTCTTGGGCTGAGGGTCTGCTTGGGGCTGAGGCCCCTGAGAAACATTTAGGAGGCTGGGTCTTCTGAGGCTTGAGTCCTGTAAGACTAGGAAGGGCTGGTGGTCTTCGGGAATCCAGCCCCAAATAGGTCTCAGGGCCTACACCTCCCCCCTCAACTCTCCCACCCGCTGACCCAGTTCATCCCGAGCTTGGCAGAGCCCCGGGCTTTCCTCAGGGCCCTTCGCCTGCAGTGAACACAGAACACCCCAGGTGTGTATTCCAGTCCTAGATCTCTCCCAGATAATGCTTGCTATTTTTTCCCAAATTTAAACCCACCAGGCTGACTTTAAGGAAAATCAAGCGTAGAGAATAATGAAGAAGATTAAGATGAGATGGTATTCATTCTCCTCCAACAAAAGCCAATTAATTGTTAGCAGGATTACCGCCCTGAGCCGGGAGCCAGCACAGACTCTGGAGACAGGATGGGCAGGGGCTGGGCGGTGGGGGGGAGCAAGCGAGCCGGGGGGGGGGGGGGGGGGGTCTCAGTGCTCCAGCAGGGGTCAGCCAGTGATGC